ATTATAAGTTATTTTTTTCTTAATTATTTTTTGTTACTAATTTAACGATACACACATAGTCGTTTATTCTTGTTCTGTGTTCGTAAACACGCCTATTAAACTATTTGCGTATTTCATGTCTCCTTTATTTCTATTCCCTTATTTCCTCCATTTCCTTCTTTAAACTCAATCCAATACTCTTCTCAATTACACAAACCCAATGTATTAGTATTATTCTATTATTATTACTTTTTTTTTTAAAAAAAAATTATGGCAAATATAATGCTAACATTACTGAAAATTGTTTATTATTGCATTTTTGAAGAAACCGGAAATGGTTTCTTCACAACACTTATGTACCCATAAGATGTTTGTGAATAATAATAATAATATTCAAATACTGTTAATTATCACATATACTAATCAGTTTATCAAGGTGGTAAATAGTACAATTCGCCTTACCATGCAAGTTCTTCCAAAATTGACTAGAATAATTTATGTCGCTAAGTATAATCAGCATGACTAGTTAAGAATTGTCCGAAATTTTGATATAAAGAAGTTATAGAAACTCTAGTAACAGTTATGCCATACTAAGCAACAGGTTGTTATATCTGAACGAAAGATGAACGAATGGCAACTGCTACGAGTTATTCGCGGACTACTATTACATGCACCCTGGTCAAATAAATAATATGTAACTAGATCATTTATGATCGCATTCCTTTTTTCGCAAGCCTTCATTTGACCCATTGGCTACTATCGTACGATTTACCATTCTTAACTTACTCCTAGTTCACTAATCATAGTATCACAAATCATAGACACTTGTGGCTTGGTATTTTATAATAATTAATATGATGATATACGGCCTGGTCTGCTTGAACCTTAATGTTGTAACGCGAGTGTGAGACTGCAGGTTCTGATAAGCAGCGTATTTATCGATCGGAGTACAGTAGACACGGAAAACACGTATGGACGACCTAGAGCCCTGATTGGTCCCGCTTCGCAGTCTGTCCCAGCCAGTTGAGTGAAGAACGCAAGTCACAGCCTCTGAGTTATGAATCATTGTATTTCAAACATACTCTATTTATATACCAAGCAAACAACCCACATCGTACCATAAAATAGGAAACAACATTTGTACAATATTTAACAAGTGAAATAAACATCGACCAATAAGAAATGTACATTTAAGGTTCAAGGACACCATTGAACTTAACATGGTAATCATTGGTCTCTTTTTCCGACTATCCCAACACTTAACTACGCATGTTTGAAATATACGATTTATATAGCGGAGACTGATGTTTGTGGCTTGGAATGGACGGACTCGCTTGGGCGAAGATTACTAAACAGAGGACCAATAAGGACTAAAAGTTGACTCAGGTTGATTCAGCACAGAGACATGACCATGTAGTGTGGTGTTCTGACTCTCGATTTTGTCAAGCAATAATTGACAAGGGTATTCCCAGGCATTAAGATAAGCGAAATACTTAACTCGAAATGATTCACCTGCAAAACAATCGAATGGAAAATATGCATCTACCTCAGACTCATTACTATAATCTTGAACTCGGTTTGAATTTTCTCCCTATGCAAGCTTCGTATCTGGGCAAACTGGTTTTCTGACGGCCTCGGAAAAACTTGCTATTCTCTCTGATTCATCATACCACTGACTATGGATTCTACCAAACCTAGAATTGTTGTGAGAATATCCAACATATGATACGGAAATAAATAAATCATCATGACAAATTACATCTGATAAAATAACATCAGAGCTCTGAGAAGGATTTTTGCACTCGATATATCTTTCACATATTTGTAAATAATTCCACCGGAAATACACAAGTCATGACCCTTATCTGGCAAAATCGTATCATGAATCTCATCAGAGTATGTTCATTTGATATATTCAACTTAATGTGGTCGAAACTACAAAATTGAGCATTACATGCACGGAAATGAACAGTAGTATTACTATCTGTATGTGTCCGACTGTAGTGGCATTGGACAATAACTGCACAATCCACAAAGCTGAACACGAGACTACTCAGAAAATAGATATTCAATATTTAACGCGGATAAATACCTAACAATGGAGAAGGCGCGAACAGTGAATTGAATGGACTGGAGTTGATCGGATGGCATGGCTCGACCATGCAGGCGTGGTCCATCTGAATGTTACCTTATATCTTCTATTCATATTAAATATATTGTTCTTCCTCTAGCCTAACCTTGTTCTACATCATGTATTGGTAATTGATACGATACAGTGAGTTGGTGTAGTCGATGTTGTGACCTCCACGTAAGATCTTATAGATTAGGCAGTTATATCATGACAAATCTACAATTTTAGCATTAGGTCTATTATTAGAGCAGTACTAATATTATAGTAGACAATAATTCTACACAACTTTACCACATTTAAGGCATTGAGCATTACGAAATACACATGAATTACATGAGTAAAATTTGTCATAGAACAAACATTTATCAAACTTATGCTCATCTTGGTGACCTGCTTTGCAAATCCACAATGTGTTATCTGTATAACCATGAGTATGCATTGAATTTGAATGATGCCATGTAGTGGAATTCTTGATGTTCTGACGAATAGATTTAAAAATTATTCTCCCTCACAGCATTTGGAATTTGTAAACATGACATGGTGTAGTACTAGTTCCTTGTGAGTTGTATAAGGGAGTAAAATGTTTGTCGCGCCTTTATAATAATTATTATTCGATCCAGACTTACGTTGATCACTTGTATTTCACAAATACACATTGATACCTAAACTGTAGAATAGGTCTCTTGTTATTTAGGTTGATTGAGTCAATTGGCCATGATCCAACAAAATTTGTACGTAGCATTCCCGCCGATGCATATTAGCTCAACTGTGATTAAAAGTGATAAATTTTAGAATCGTGATATCCCAATAATTTCAGTTTTCTCTGAAGTTTTTTTCTCAGTATTAAATACAAATTCTGCCTGTGGTAGGTTCATTTTCTTCGAAATTCAAAATATCCCGAGATAGTAGACTGTCTTGACATTGAGGATATATGACACATGAAAAGTAACAAACCTTAACTAAGTCATGACTGATTTGCCTCATCCAGTTCAAGTAATGAGTTCAAAGTGAAGACGGCTTATATATAGTAATAATAACTTTGATGGACTTGATCTCCTGTTGCTTCGAATAAATGTCTCCAGGAGTGAATCCCAAGCATTAATTTGGAAAACTGAACTCTGCGATTTCAGGAAACCGCGGTGTTTTAGTCACCTTTCGAGATCTCTCAGCTTCCCTAGACTTTTTAATACACAACCCTCAGAATTTATTGACACTCTAAGTATTATCATTCTCAATTGATGATCCATAGACTAATTTTTATCATGAATGTGCTAAATTTCATTTTGTCCTCGTTGCTGTAGCCTAATATAAGCGTTGCATGAATCCGATTCACTGTTGGCACTTGTCCTTATCCGAATAACTTAGTCGCTGGTCAAAACCATTCCGCTTCTTTCATATTTTCCGTAAGATCTTTTTGGTCAAGTGACGAGTTATAGAGATAACTGATAGTGGGTCAGACAAAGATGAAACAGCTAACACCATTCCTCATCCAGCTATTGTTTCGTCAATCGAACCCGAATGAAACTTGAAATATCCCTGCTTATTGTTCCACTCCGACCCTAGTGATCTATAAGTATGTAAAGTCAGGTCATTTACCAGATAAATTCTAGGTAGACTGCATTCAAACCTTTGGAATCGAAAGTCCTTATTTTCCAACTTAACACAGTGTTTGTTGACATGAAAAATGTTTTAGTTTGTTCAGTCGTCAGAAATAAAGCTACGCAACCGTTGAGGAAGAAATGATCTCAGACATCCCAAACCACAAATTCGTTACAATACCTCGGAAATTTCTGAACTGTTTGATTTAAAGAAAAAATGCTCGAAACGAATATGCCGTGATTCTAAGAGGGTGAAAAATAATCTAGAGTTTGATACGCTTTTTAGCAAATCAATATCTTGTCGTCATAGAAATCTAAAGGACTACCTTATTATTACAAAAAACTTTACTTGCATATAAATTTCTTCCACATTTGTAGAAATAACCATGAGTTCCCATTGAAGTGTAACCTCAGCCTGATTACTGTTCACCTAAATACTATTTTGAAGATGTTTACACGCTTACGCATTCACAAATGTCAACCTGGTATATAATGGTGTTTCAGTGTATCTCAACTAATCACCAATTATACATCAAGATTCTCAACGTTTCTCCGTGTCAGGTTAGCTAAATGAGGTGACATTTTTTATGCATGAAATATACTGTTGTCTGACCTTTGTACTGTAGCGTGGCGTCGAGTTGAGATTATCTATGAACACCACTGCCAAGAAACACGTGCCAAATAAATCAGAAGGCGAGGGTTGGACGTAACCAAATAGATCCATAAAATCTCCGAGAAGCCAAATATCAGAAGGCAATTAATGGACCAAGTCGAGGTGTATATTTGCTGGCGATCTCGTGGCATCGAAAGGATACCGAGATCGTGCCAGGATACAACCTTGGTTACAGAAAGTAACCGAATTCGCGCGAAGTTACAACCGAAGTGTAAGTAAAAGAATGGAATCACAAGGTAGCTGTCACTAGCACAGTCAAACAAAAGCACGTTAAAACAAACACTGGTACAGTTGGTTATAATAATAATTGTTTTTATTAAACCAGTCGTGTTCTCGTGATAAATGTGAGTCACTACAGTACAAACAATATATTGGAAACAAAATCCTGTTTCATATCATCGGATCATGATATATCTAGTAAATTTTTCATCAATAATAGATGCAAGTTTATAATTGCCATAAAAATAATCATTGAGAAAACTAAGTGAAAATAAAACGAGAACAATTTTTCTAAATTGTTCATATTTTTTCGAGTAGCCGTAAGACGTCAAGATTCGTTTAACTGGACAGTTTTTCAACATCAAATCTGACCGCTCCAGATAAAAGTCGATCAGTCACGGTTGCTATGGTTTCTACAGATTAGGATTCATTGTTGTTGCGCTCACTCCGAAAATTATTAAAAACTTTCAGAGCTTGTTCCGTCTAAATTATGTTTTCTTTCATATGGAATGAAAAGTTTTGGCTTCCGCACAACGTAACATGGGATTTAATGAAAGAAATAAATTCAGCTGGTGTTTCACCAACTCTCACGAAATCTATGGACTGCTTTTATGCTGTAGCTGTTCTTACAGCCATTCGTTTATTATTTGAAAAAGTATGTTGGACTACAACTTCAATTTCTTTATCTCCAGGTCTGTTTTTATTCCTCATGGTCTTTCACTGGGGTTGCGCTTCCCTAAAATATCTCATGTTCCTGACATACCGGCCTTAAAGACGGTATTTGAAAAAAAATCACAAACCCACATACGTCCAGATAAAGGTAGTCATTATATCTTGTGCTCATAATTCTAGGAACTTTCGAAAACTCTTAATTTGAGCGATCGGTCGATTGAAGCATGGTTTCGAAAAAAGCGTAACTGCGAAAAGTTTCCAACGATTGTGAAACTTGTAGAATCTGAGTAACTTTTTTGGATTTAACTGTAACCATATCTGTTTGTTAGGTGGAAGTTATGCTACTATACTACCATGTTTTTTGTACGGATTATTTGCGTTGCACGATGTATGTCTTATTTAAAGTAATTAAACGACTTATTTTTAGAAGTCCTACTTCTGGATGTGAGAGATACGATGATGAATTATCCATATCATGTAATTTGAAATTACGCTATCATATATCACTTTTTTACTCAAGTGTGGACTTCCGTGGCAATTGCCACGTGTTGGTGTAATTTTCACAATTTTTTATTGTACATTGATTTTAACTAAAGTTTAGGATGTACCTGTTGTAATGCCTGGAATATGTTGTCAAAGTTTGTTCAACATCGATCTATTTTACTTAAGATATTTGTAATCATCATATATCAGTTTTCTTATTGGAAATTCATTAATTCAAAAATTTTCGCCGAATTAAGAAATATTGCTTGTTTTAAGGATGCTACAAATGAATGGTTTTCTAATTGAATTGTGTTGATAGAGTCATATGGACTTATGGTTAGTGGACAAAGCTTTGACTTTTTTCTTTGGACTGTAGCGCGTTCTTTAATGTACATACTGGAAAGTCTCCTAACAGTTATTGCACATGACAGAGACTTCATATCAGTACTGCTCAGAAAGATTCTTATCCCATATATATGTACACTGGCTTTTCTTATGTACCATAAGCTTTTTTCTTACCAAATATCAACATTCTGTCATTATACATACTGATGGTTTATTAGACTTAAGGCTGTCAAAATGGTGACATTTTTTCCATTAATGTTATTTGTTTGGGATGATTAGCGGTTATTAGAGTCTCATCGTTGATTAACCATTATTATTTTCACAATTCACTCCTTATTCTACCAAGTTACGGGTCAATTAGGTGGCGGAAAGGAGTTTATTGTAGTTGAATTTTAATTAAATGAATAACTCATCTGTCTTATATGTCCCCTTTTTTGAGCTACAGTGTTTCTGCGAGGGCTGCTAATAACAGTTGGCTGCCAAAGACAACATACACTGACTAGGATTTGAACCTACGGCTTATTGGCTGAAGATCATCACTTTAACTATTGAACTATTGCTTCCAAGCATGAAATTTATAGTTTCTATAGGCAGGAGATATTCAACATGATTTAGGATTGGGTACAGTTTTTTACTGGAACCATGTTTCATCCAAAAAGTTTAATACTTTATTTTATGTGATTATAACAGAATACTTTTAATTCTTCTTGAACATTCTGTTATGCGCTAGCTATTTTGATTTTTACTTTATGAAGATAAATCGCTTAAATTTTTATTTTTTTATTTTAGATTTCTTATTCTTTCTGTTCTTTAGGTCTTGACCCCAGAAATTCATTGGTATTATATGGTACAGCTTGGATACTACACAGCTTCATTATTATGGATTTTTTATGAAGTCAAACGATCGGTTAGTATATCTTTTTCAAAAAACGTGTGTTTTGGTTGGATTTAACCATAAAGTTTGGTCCATTATGAATGGCTGGTTATTAGCAACTTAATCTGACAGGAAATAGGATACAATGGTGATTGCTTTTTACCGATTACATGTGTTTGCGCATACACTTTTTTCATACGATATTCAATATTCTTTTGTATCCTTCACATGCAAACTAAAGGTATTAATTTTTTTAAACTTTAACCTACTAAAATAAGAACCATGTCAACGTGCTGACGAAATTGTTAATAGTGCCAGCTATTTCCAATATGGAAATTTTGTTCTAAAGATTCCTGGAATATAATAGACATTCGTATGTTTTCCATCACTCTTTACTGTAATCCAAATACTATGATAACGATTTTATAACACCACCATCACTTACCTAATAACCTAACTAAAGCTACACATCTTGTATCATATCATTGGAATTGGTATACACCTCTCAACATGTAATGCTGATAACGGTAACGAAGTCTACTATTGGCATTTAGAAATTAAACAGACATTATGGTTATCTAAAAAGCCCACCTACCTATGAACATTGTGAATACTTATCATTGCCGTCAACCTTACTGTTTGGATAGATTTTTCTTAACAGGACTTTATTAGCTATTAAAATCGGTTAAAGTGTGTAACGGTGACAGCTAAATCAAAGTCTCAGTGCTCAATCTGGTTATAATTATAAGGTATATGAAACTTGCACACAGTAGCTATAACTCTTGGGTTCAGCTTTGCCGCTAGCATATGTAAATGTCATCTAGAAGGTTTTATGTTCATAAAAACATTTAGCCTCAGTCCTGGGCGGTATATCCCTGTAAGGCAAAAAATATAACTTACAATGAGGTGCACCAAACCTTACATTGACACAGTTTAAAGAATTGAAGAGCTGATTCAATAACAACTCTATATTGATTTTTGAATGTCTGAAAAACTTCTACTGAGGATATAGTGGACGAATACAATACAAACACTTGGGATGCATGAAACTTGCGAAGAGAAAAATTGACTATAAGTGTTTCAGCATTTCAGGAAGTGTTATGATGAACATGTTTATGTGTTACTTTATAGTATGTCTCCTGCCCTTTCCAACTGAAAATATCTATAATTATTTCCTAGTATAATTTGTTTATAACCTCTAACATGCATGTACTTTAGCATAACACGCTTGGGATGAAAATTTTTACAGACGCAATACTTAATGTTGGACCATCATAATTAAAAGTTTTAGTTTAGTCCTGCGAGATAATTGTGGAGCAATGACGCACTATTATTGTCCATCAACATCATGGTTGGCATTCATGAAGGCTTATTTACTTACTAACTTACGACTGTTGCCACTCGTGGATGAGCATAAGCCGCTCACCAGCATTCTCCATCCAATTCTGTCCTGAACAATCCTTTCCAGTTTTTTCCAGATGATACTCATCCTTTTGATGTCTGCTTCCAATTCTCGATGCAATTTGTTCCTTGGCCTTCTTCTTTTCTGTTTACCTTCACCATTTCAAGTAAACCCTTGCTTCGTGGTCCAGTCCGGTGATTCTCACAAACTATGTCATATCAACCCCAAACGCCTTTTACAAATCTCCTCCTCAGATGGAAGCTGGTTTGTACTCTCCAACAGAAGGCTGTTGCTGATGATATCCGGCTAACGGACATTGATTATCTTGAGTAGACAGTTCTTTATAAATACTTGTACATTTTTGATGATGGTTGTAGTAGTTGTCGAAGTTTCAGCTCCTTACAGTAGAACTGCCTTGACGTTCGTATTGAAGATTGTGACTTTGATATTGGTCGACAGTTGTTTTGAGTCCCATATGTTTTCCAACTGTGGGAATGCTGCCCTTATTTTTCCAATCCTTATCTTTACGTCTGCGTTTGATGCTCCTTGTTCATCGATGATGCCGACCAGGCACGTGAAAGATTCCACATCTTCCAGAACTTCTCCATCAAGTGTGATTGGGTTATTGTTCTCCATGTTATATATGAGGATCTTTCTTTTGTTGTTGTGTATATTGAGGTCTACTGATGCAGAGGCTGCTGCTACACTGGCTTTCTTCACTTCTATTCGTTGGTGTATGAGATAGAAGAGCTAAATCCTTTGTGAAGTCTAAATCGTTTAAGGTGGAAGTAAGCAGTCTTGTCTATTACCGCTCTTTACTTGGAATGCGTCTGTCAGCTGTCGTCCATGCATGACTTTGTAGTGTAGTCCGTCGTATGAATCTCGGATGACGTTGACTATTTTCTTGGGCACACCATTATCCCGAAGAAGGTTCTCCTGTCCACACTGTCAAGTGCTTCCGCATTGGCAAGAAAGTTGATATATAGTGATAAATTCCATACAGTCGAATAGAACATGAAGCATGTTTGCGGTTGCTTTTATGTCCGACTTCAGTGCTTTGGCTGGTATTCTTAAAGGTTTTGCTGCTTTCTCACTCTTGATTTGTCTGATGACCATGCTGATTTCTCCGACTGCTGGTGGAGTGACACCTGTTGGAGGGTCTGTGTGCTGCTTCGATGTCTGGTGGATTCAATGGAGCTGATCTATTCAAGAGTTCCTCGAAGTGTTCCACCCACCTGTTCCTTTGTTCCTGGATCTCATTGTTTGGCTTGCCTTCTTTGTCATTGACTGGTCTCTCTGGTTTACTAAATTTGCTCGCCAGTTTCTTCGTAGTGTCATATATTTGTCTGATATTTTCTTTTTTTTGCAGCATTTTCCGCTCCCGTTAGTAGGTATTCGATGTATCTCTGCATGTCGGCTTTAATGCTTTTCTCCACTCGTTTGTTTGCTTCAGTGTATTCAGCTTGTGTCTTGACTTTCTCTTTTGTTGTTCGGCTGTTGTTAATTGTTGTCTTCTTGATCTTCTTTTCTTGAATCCTACCTTGGGTTTCGATGGAGATCCATTCATAATGGTGATTCTTCTTGCGGCGCGGAACCTACTGATATGTTGAAGTTAGTGCTTCTTCGATCCCTTTCCGATTGTCCCCTATGGCAGTTTCTTCTTCTTTCAGTAGATCTTGTAAGGCTTGGAACCTGTTGTTGAGAGCTATCTTGAATTCGTTGAATTTGTCAGTATCTCGTAGGAAGTCTTAATTGAACCTTTGTAATGCTGTTTCCCCAGTTGTCTAGTGTTTTTTAGCCTCAGTTTCACCTTGACAACCACCAAGTGGTGATCTGAAGCTATGTCAGCTCCTCTCCTGGTTCTCACGTCTTTCATAGTCCTTCGGATTTTTTTATTGACACAAATATGACCTATCTGGTTCTCCATGGTGTGGTCCAGTGAAATCCATGTAGTTTTGTGAATGAGTTTGTGTAGGAATATTGAATGGTCTTTCTGGTTTCCCATATTATCTGGAAATTCTATTTACCTATATTAATAGTTGCTTTGTCTGTTTGAGTGAACATCGGCTTCGTGACTTCCGAAGAATCTTAGCTTTCACCATGAGGTGTCATCATTCTTCTATATGAAGATCTTTCAACTCGTAGGGCAGAGCTGAAATGATTTAATTTGTTTATTCTGGTTAGCTTTTTTTAGAGAATTTGTTTTCTACGGGATGGGGTTACTGACCCTATTTCCAACCCCCCTACTTTATCCGGGTTTGGGACCGGCAGTAACCCTAGAAGAGCTAATAGCGGAGTTTCTAAAAGACTTATAGTAACATAATTCTACTGGTTGGTTAACATTGACTAATTTGTTTATCTGCTCATTTTCATTGCTCGTAAAATTATTCCTAACCATCGTGTCTGCATACGAACATTTTTACTATTTCTTGTGGCTTATTTGAAACATTTTACTGTAAAGCAATTTTTCTTGACAGTTGATAGACATTAATGAGATAAAAAGTAACGATTCACTTTGTGACGTCTTTAAAGATATCGGTGTACAGTAATAATAGTATTTTGAGCACTACAATGTTTTTTAGAAATGATTTATAGTATAGTTTCACTAGGGGATTTTATGGTGTATGTACAAACTAAGTGGTTTTATTTATAATAAACAAACCAGACGTATTGTTTGCGATAATTAATTCTCTCTAGGTCTGTCAAGGGTATGCGTCAACGTTTATCCGTTCATTACTCAATAAACTGATTTAAAAGTTTTGGGATTGAGGACACTTTGAGTTTCTTCAATACCCTGTAACTAGGGATTCGTCGTGTACGTCCACTTTGAAGTTAGTTTTCATCACGGTCTGGAATTAGCTGGAGAAACACTGGAAAAACAAACCTGAGATACCTGTTTAGTTCTGGTTTCGGACGTCCCTGAAGTAAATGTTGAAGAGCTAAATAAGATACAATAGTTAATTTTATGCTGGACAATTTTGTAAACCATTTTATTTCGAAAATTTGCACCAGGATCATGAATCTGAAACTCTTGCAAAACAAAAAGTCTGTTGTTCCTATGTTCATTTTTACGTGGATTCGAGGATGTCCTTTGCTATTTAGTTAAAAAACTAGGCCGAATAACATAATACATAATATTTTACCACCAATAAAAACCTAGAAGCACTGGACGGCCTTTTTGAATCCCGTGAGCGAGATTGTGGATGTCCACTGCTGAAGAGTCCCACAACAGGGCGAAATGGCCGTCCAGTGCTTCAAGATTTTCAATGGCATTCTAGTTTCAATTGACTCATGAATTCAATTATTAACATAATTGATACTTTATTTCCGTGGGAAATTTTATGATTATGTAAATCACCAATTCCAATTATTTTATGGTAGTCTTATTAATTAATTTATTTACAATTATTTGGCTTTGGATAAGAGTAAATACTCTTTGCTAAATCTAGTACATCTTACTAACAGTTTAAACTAATGTTAACAAATTAAATGGCTATTTAATTTAACGGAACATCTTTTTGATAACCACTCTCTAAGTTAGTTGTAAATGATACGATTTAAGTAAATGATCAGATAAACTGAGAAGAGAGTTGCACGATTCAAATCTCGAGGTTTACAGTTTGATTATCATCTATAATTAAACATTACATTTAAAAAAATGTGACAGCCTTCGAGTTTCTCTTCATTTCATTTTTGAGTTTCAAATTCTGCTAATTTTCCATTGTACAAACGCAAATGTATAAAATGTCAAATAAATACTTATCAGTTCAATTTTAAGCACATCTAGACTATACGAAAAGTGGAGACTGAATCACCTTATTATGAAATCTCTTGTACGATAACTCATATTAATTTTACAACTCCTTAGTTTCATTAATTATGTTTGCTCAATGAATTTTTACTTATTTCTTTAAAAGGATTTCAAAGTTCTTCTTGGACATCATATTTCAACGGTTTTATTGTTGACATTCTCATATATAACAAATTATCATCGAGTTGGTGCTGTTGTTCTCATACTTCATGATATTGCAGATTGTTGGATGGAAGTGAGTGAAAGAAATTATGTGATTGTTTTTCACATATATTCTGACAACCATATTCTTATAAATTACCTGCAAATATATAAAGTTTACGTATCATAAACGTCTTATTCTGTTTCATATATAATCTAAAATGGATTGCACCGACACAGTAGCATTCATCCTATAATTCCTTTTTAAATCTACACAAATATTATACTATGCTATTCATTGTTCAATCTCATTAGCTTCACCATAGAAATATCTCTCTGAGTCTCTTAAAATGAAGTCTGGGAACTGTTGCACATTTGTTCCAGGTTCTATCTACACCATAACCGACATTTATTCTATTTTAAAGAACCATTATAAATCGAGAGTATTGTATAATTATGGTTGTTCTACGAAACATATACGAAAGGTCAAATAATTTAGTGTCATTCCAATATTCAAGTTAATTGTTAAATGCTTCCTGTGAAGATTGATCATACAACAAAAGTTAAACGTATATAATAGTTTTTGTGTAGCCTCTAATTTTTTAAGGTTTAAGAGTGGTCTTCTATTATTTATAAATAAACTGTCTTCTATATAAATAGCAGCTTTTATGCTAAAAGATTAGTTATTATTTAAAGAGCTAACATTAACATAATTTGGTCAATTAACTTTGAACGAAAGTGAGAGAAAATAATTCTTCCTGAATGATGTTTTGAATAGAATTTGTATGAGAAGAAACAAGCATTTTGTGTGGTTTCGCGCTGATATCTCGTTATTTCAACTTCAGAATGGCATAATAAACTTTTTATGATCAATTGAAAACAATTTAAACTTTAAATCAATGACATTCTTCACAAAGTTCATTAATAAGCTGAATGTTAGCGGCCTAGGCTATTCCCAATGTTCACTGTGTTGTACATCTTACTTCCAGTCAATTTCGTATTCCATTGGTGCATAAGTACTGGATATCAGTGTGTCATTTCAATAGTCTAGACTGCTTAATACGAACGTATCTATGTAACACAGCTCGATATGTCAGATAATATTCAAAAAAATATCAAAACTTAGAGCTGAAAATGAAATCGTTAGTGGAAATTACACTTTAATTTTCAACACTCACCCCAAAAAGAGTATAAAAACGACCGAGACGGTTATGTACAGCACATTTGCTGAACACTGGAAACTCTGAGAATGATCTCAGCCACGTTAGCTGCCATTAATACTTGAACTTTGCACAGAGAACTCTAGACAATATTTTTCTGTCAGTTGGATGGAAAAAATAGAATTCTACAATGTTTTAGAATTGATGAGTTCAACGGCATTACTATGACTAATTTAGGACTAACTTACTTCAATTTCTTTCCGCGTTTGTAGGTGTCATTACCAAGGTTTGATTTGATAATTTCGAATAAATTGAGCATTGGGCTGATTGTTATAAATAAAAATAATATATTTGTAATATCCCAATGAATAGAAAATTGGGATATTACAAATATATTATTTTTATTTTTATTTATTCTTTCCGCGTTGTTTATATTCTGCAATTAGGCATAGGATACCAAGCTAAGTAATAGAGATTTATGCAAACTTTATATTTTGTTCACAACGTCATCAACCGGTTTGTTACATTAACCTATCAATCTGTAATTAATGTCAATATTTCTTTTCTCTTATTTCACTAGACTTAAGAATATTTGTAAGACGAGTATGATCGAATAATTGCAACCTTCTCGAATCTCTATTAATAATATATGTCACATATTACTTGTAATTATTTCTACAACTTTCACTGATTATGGAATCTTGTTCAGTAGTGCATCAAATTGACAGAATAAAACACGCCACAAATTGAATAAGTAAAGATTTCCATAACTCATGTTATAAGTAACTAAGCAAGATATTTAAAATAACTGAACAAGTATATATATGAGTTGTACAAGTCCAGTTTCACTGTAAACCCGAAACGATGACCAATTGAACAATTTTGTTAGATATTTTATTGTAATCACCAACGAAACTTCTATATCCTAAATCCACTATAAATAAAATCATGCATTAAGATAAATAGTGAGTGATCTAACACAACACATTTTCTAAAACTTTTCAATGCAATTTCCAAGCTTTACTAAGAGATTTAGTGTTATTGACAAAAATACAACTTCCAGTGATGTAAATTAACATTCAGTTGTTCTTCAGTCAAACATAATGAAAGATTCTAATGTACCAGTACTGAAATCTCTATCACTTTTGTGCTGTATGATCATCTTACACAGTTATGTAAATAACTGAGATTTAACCTTTAAGCGACTGTTCCGAATATGAAAAAGCCAACTGAGTTTATATCATCTTTCAGATAAGTTAACGAATAAATCAATAATTAAATTATTTTGTATTGATTTTAATACATACTATTATAACCATTATTATTATTACTATTTTTATTATTATTACTATGATAGGCAGCTAAGATATGCAAATATGTCAATAAACAATTGGCCACTGAAGTGTTATTTTATATTTTTGTACCCGTTTGGATCGTTACACGATTAACATACTTTCCACTGTGGTAAGTATTCTAATATTTTCTCAGTATAAATAAAAATCATACAATTCTTATGGATAATATTAAGTATTTGATATATATAATATCATCATTTATTAAAATATTAATACCATTCATATTTTTATTGATATAAGGATAAATCCCCAATTCGAATTCTGTTTTCATCATACGATGACATTGACTGAAAAGTCATTGAATGCAGCTGACCATCGTGTACTTGTTTCGCCGTTGTTTGAAAAATTTCATCATTACGCACCCAGGATTCAGTGGTCTTCAGTTCTTGAATTGAGCGCAATATGTATAAACCTATATTAATGCCTGAATGTTTGAACTCCATAATTTTAGGGTTTGATCCTCAACAAAGTCGTGAATACATACTGTTTTGTTATCCTGAACTTAAACAAAAGAGTTGTTTTTTTGGTTTTAAATGGAATTCCAGCTGATATCAATCTACGATTAAAACTGACTCTTAAAGCTGAATAATATTAAAGATCCCCGACACTATAAATGCCTAAAACATGGGTATTATCATCAAGGCAATGATGATTCATGGTTTTTCATCAATTCACATTTTAACCATTGTGTTTTGCAACTTTAACCTCATAATTGTTCGTTGTGTCAAACATACCTAAAAACAGATTACTTAACCACTGCCATGGTTTCCTAAGTTACATTATTTTTGTTGCTGGTGTTATTATTACACTAGTGATATACATGAATTTACTGATCATTGAAACACTATGATTCTACAAAGGCTCCTATGTTAAGTAGAAACTCTGGCTACAACAGTAGTAGTGAGTTTTCATTAATCGAGCGATTAAAAACGTCTTGGTAAAGTATATGATTTTAGTAAAATAAACGTTTGTCCGCAGTGTCTAGACGAAAAAGACCATCATAGGTCAACCACTACCACGAATAATAACTAATTAAACGAAACTAGAAATTCAGAAACTTACTTTACTAAGTGATTAAATGCTTTTGTAAATTGTCAATAATTATAACTAAATTATTTCGAAACTTCAATTTCTATATCAATATAATGACTTTTGTCATTTTGAAAAATAATATGAAATGCATAATATAGTGTGAAATAATTCTATTCAATTTGTATCATGTTCATCATGAATTGATTACACTTTCTTGTACTCCGTACTAAGTCATGTTTATTTTAAGAAGAATGAAGACATTTACAAGCTACTCAAGTTGAGTTATTTGAAATGTAGTTTGCAATGATTTTCAAGTGATTGAAATTTTAACCATTAACTACTAGATTTGAATCGGATTGAGTAGTATCACTAGTCCTCATACATGTAATACACATCAAAGCCGAGTACATTAAACCATATTTAGTCAGTAAATTGTCTGAATTACAAATTCTGGCATTGAAAGTGCAAAGACTTTACATTCTATGACTAATCACAATTACCTTCACTAACATACATCAACAACTATCGTAACTAACTATCCGTCGTACTATCGATTCACGTATTTTTACTGAAAGCTTACAGCTTATTGCATTTTGGATTCTGTTTTTGATCCACTTACAAGACTTCTAAGACTGAGTAAGTTTACCACGGTAAAAATTAATTCGTGGAAAGCTAAATTATTGTAATATTTATTTCTATAGTTGTTACTAAGTAACGATTGGAATCAATTTTCTCTTGTTAGAAACTTGTCTTTTATCTAGAATTTTCACATTATTTGATATAAATATTCAGCTGCATGAGCATTTCCTATAATTCTTTAATATTTATGACTGCTTTTTATCAATCTTTACTGATGAAAATGTTTCTGATAGTGTAATATAAAGTACATGAACCTATCAATTCCGTGTCTCTTCTCTCTATCTCACCCTCCATATATATATAACATTATTTTTACTGATCCTATTCAATTTGAGTACTCATTTATTCATTGTTCATTAACATATCTATTTTTCAGGGTAATTTGGGCAACTTTTAAATTTAGCATCTTTGTAAATGGTCCATATCCAGCTGTTCTCATTATGGTTGGATTTTTATTAGTTTTACAAATTTTGCATATTTATTGGTTTTGCTTAATTGTGAAAATTGCAATACAAGTCAAATCAAATGGACGTGTGAGTTCGATATGTTATTTTTTCTTTATTAATTCAATTATATACTTATTAGATAGTGTTTCAGTTATCAATTTTGTAATGTTTCTCAGCAACAATAGGATAACTCAGACCATTGTTTTAATGATTTAAGCACCATACCCATTAAAGATGTTAATAGCTATCTGATCTCAGTATTTCAGTTTATGACACGTTAGGAGTTTAAAGTAACATTAGTAGGCAAATACATCAGACTGGTAAGTCTTGATTTATGATAAAACGCTCATGCTGGATTCCATTAGTAGTAATAGTCTATCTAGTTTAAATCAACTGGGACTATAGTGTGATGATTGGAAGTGTTTGAATTATTAAACGAACTAGGAATCTCAGAAATAACGCAATCTTTATCAAGAAAAACTATGTGAGCGAAAACGAACGTGTTGTATTTGGAGTTCGAAATCGGGCGGACATCGAGTACAATGTAATCATCTGTTCATGAAAACACCACATATAATTCACAGGAATAAATGAAATCAATAAATGAAAAACTTGAAACGATACAAAACTCAAAACTTAGAGTAAAATATACAGTGAATACAACTGCACCACTGTAACCGATTTCGATCCGTATGACCCAGTGTATGAGCCTCAATCAGGAATTGATTGAATTAATTTCAAATCCTAGTATCTTTGTTTTAAGTATTTTTCTAATCTACACATGCCATTCACAATTGCGTGTCAAATTGATTCAATACTCATACTCTATATCATATATCTTCTTATTACGTCATGTCTAACAGATATGGAGTAATACAGAGCTGAATATGGCTCAGTAAATCTCATCATTGATTGTTGCATAGGCATCCAGTATTTCTAATAATATTACAATAAGTTGAAAAATGTATTGATGGTTTAAAGAAAAATCATATTTATTATTTATCTTATTTGTTCATTTTATATCACACAGCTTGTTAAGGATTGTCGTAGTGAAAGTGAACTCTCCGATGAATCCAATCAAATAACGAAATTAAATCCTATTCATGAAACAAAATGTTACAATAATTATCATCATACAAACCAACCTTCATTGAAAAGTAATGATGTTAGTATAAATAATAATAGTAATATTACTACTACTAATAATAATAATAGTGATAATAACGTTAGTGATATTATTAGCGATGATAATAAATTAAATCAACGTTCTAATCACTGTATGCAGTAAGATAAAGGATTATATTGAAAATCTTGTAAACGTTGAATATCGAACATTCTCTCTCTCTCTCTATCTATCTATTGTGAATTAATCAAGGAGAACTGTGAAAAACTGTAGTTCTTTTTTTCTTTGTGTTGTAGTTTGCACATAAATTGTTTATTCACTAATTGACAATCAGTTGTATATCGAACAGGAGCAAATATCTCCATATATCATTTTAATCATGTTTCTACCTTTGAATATTTTTTTATCTATCATTTGTACTATGGTCTTTCGTATTTTGTGTGATTGTTTGATTTGTAAAAAAAATACAAAACTTTTTTTACGCATTGTTTTAAGCTTTTTGTTAGAGTGTATTTTCATCGAAATGATGAATAGTGATTTATGCACCGATATAATAGATTGTGAAGTTTATCAGACATTCTATAGATCCGTTATTTGTTTTGTAATGAAAGATTCAGTGCAAAAAAATGTAGAAATCAGATGAAAAGAATAATGTGTTATGATGATGGATCTTTGAATAATTGGTATTTAACGAAATTCACAATTTGCAACTTGAGTTTAGTTTTAGGATTTACTGCCTTAATTGCAGAGTGTATTGTAAGACCTTCAGCACTTCTTCTTAGAAAATGTTTCCTATTGAATTTCATCTAGTCTAATTTCTAATGTTATTTTGTGATGCAATGATATATTGAAAGATGCATCATTGAAAAGCTATTTTATTCTGTCATAACACTATTCAACATTGTGCATTCACCAAGAATCAAACCCAAGATCTACGAGTCTCATATTGAGTGCATTACCTTTAGACTACTGTATTGTTATCCAATAGTTTACCTTTCCAAATTTAATCAGTTCTAAAACTAGCACAACTCTCATCAATTAATAACCGGAATTCATACAACGGAATACACTACAAAGTACTGCACGGAGGACAGCTCACAGACGCATTCTGAGTGAGAACCGCAGTCAAACAAGGCTTTTTACTCTCCCTCTTTCTCTTTCTTCTGGTAGTCGACTGGATTATGAAGATCTCTACATCTCAGGAGAAGTACGGAATACAATGGACAGACTGGATGCAACTAGAAGATTTGAAATTCGCGGATGACCTAGCTCTTCTATCCCGTACACCAACGAATAGAAGTGAAGAAAGCCAGTGTAGCAGCAGCCTCTGCATCAGTAGACCTCAATATACACAACAACAAAAGAAAGATCCTCATATATAACATGGAGAACAATAACCCAATCACACTTGATGGAGAAGTTCTGGAAGATGTGGAATCTTTCACGTGCCTGGTCGGCATCATCGATGAACAAGGAGCATCAAACGCAGACGTAAAGATAAGGATTGGAAAAATAAGGGCAGCATTCCCACAGTTGGAAAACATATGGGACTCAAAACAACTGTCGACCAATATCAAAGTCACAATCTTCAATACGAACGTCAAGGCAGTTCTACTGTAAGGAGCTGAAACTTCGACAACTACTACAACCATCATCAAAAATGTACAAGTATTTATAAAGAACTGTCTACTCAAGATAATCAATGTCCGTTAGCCGGATATCATCAGCAACAGCCTTCTGTTGGAGAGTACAAACCAGCTTCCATCTGAGGAGGAGATTTGTAGAAGGCGTTTGGGGTTGATATGACATAGTTTGTGAGAATCACCGGACTGGACCACGAAGCAAGGGTTTACTTGAAATGGTGAAGGTAAACAGAAAAGAAGAAGGCCAAGGAACAAATTGCATCGAGAATTGGAAGCAGACATCAAAAGGATGAGTAGCATCTACCTAGGGGTTCGGAAAACCCTGGTTCCAAACCAATGATCCACATGGGCTCCAGGGTCCTGAGGGAACAAATAGCATATGAACATATTATTGGTTACCGGCTACCATGGTACTGCATCTCCTAACCTTCCTCTGATGCCTTGTGAATTAGATCTTCAGATAAAGGCTTGAGGTTTGCCCCCCCTAAGAAAACCACCTGTTTCGGTTTGGGCACCCGGGCAGTATCTCATCTTATACACAAATCAAATGGTAATTACTACTGGAAAAGTTACTATTGTTTCAACTCTCATTCAGACGAATCATATTCACAATCGTTTGACAAAATCTGTTTTTACATTTTTACACTACTTCACTTACCTATTCCCTTTTGTTCTCATTTTGTGCATTTTATCTTATTTTCCAACTTATAAAGCAACTCACCTATAGTGGGAACCCTGTTCCATCTGAACGATTTCAAGTCACTGACTGGTCGAAAGTTGAATGCCACCACTAACTACAAATACTGAAACCACATGTATCATTCAAACTAGTTTCCTTCAACTTTAGCACACCAATGTAGGTCGGACAACAGATAGGGTCGACTATGTCTTTAAAAAGTCTCAACATAGATTTATGTTGTCTTTCCGAGACCAGTGTTCAGAACTCCAGTGAAGTGCCACAAAATCGCTCTGCATCTGTCACTTCGAAAGGCTTGTTTCACGTGCGTTTATCCAGGGACCTCGTCTGGTTTTGCTGGCGTTGATGTCGCACTAAGCGCTAGTGCTGAGGCAGCACTGGTCGACTGGATCTCTATTAACAGTTGGTTATGTGCTATCAGATTAAAAAATTCCATCGATGTGCAATGAAGTCGACATGAGAAACAGTGTCCTTTCGTCATCTCCACCTACGCTCCGACAGATTGCAGCCAGGATACAATCAATGATGAGTTTTACCACCTATTAAGTGTTCTTTCAAAAAGGTTCGTGTGATATATATTGTAGTACTAGCCGTAGGCTTGAATGCTCAAGTCAGGAGTCTAGGCTCAGGAGAGAGTTGTTTAGGTGGCCGATGGGGGCTCGTTGGTCGCAGGTCAGATAAAGGTGACCGTCTACTGTAAGTGTGCGCAGACTAAAATCTGTTTCTCGCTAGCACTAACTACCGGCACAGTCATCGCTGAAGTGCCACCTGGCGTCCTTCCTCTGCATACCAGGCATGAACTCAAATTGATCACGTCGCGATCAGCTATTGTTGGCGTGGTTGTATGCAAGACTACCGCTTCTTTTGCAGCACCTCTCTGGACTCTAATGATTCCCTTGTTTTCTCTAATCCTGCCTTACGTTTCAGAAGCCAAAAAATTCATCATTCACAACGAGTCAATGTAAGTAAATTGGTTTCAGCTTCTATTTCAACCAAATGTAAAACCGAATTAGGTTCAAGGCCAGCTACTATCCCACCAAATAGTATGGATAAGCATTGGCTGCACTTGCATGAAACCGTGAAAATAGCGAGTAAAGTCGCTTGCGGCTTCGCAAAACATTCCGCCTATAAGCGCTGGATTCCTTCAAGCTCGTTTAAGCCCGTCGATCTACTCCGAGTGACCGCGAGTTTGACCATAAACGAAGACTGTTAAGTAATGGAATTGTGCAAAGCTTGAGTAAGGACCGAGAAGCCTGGTGGTTGGAGCTAATTAATGAGTTGGAAGCAGCAGGTGCACCTGGTAACTTCTGAAAGCTCCTTCAACTCGTACAAGTTTCTGGGAACAAGAGGTCTGGTGAAAGTGAAACAATCTGTGGAGATGACAGGATTCCAATCACTTACATCTATTGACATCTTTGATAATGGGCAGAGTTTTTCGAGGAGCAGTCCAACTGGTCTGCTGCCATGACGACATTGCTTAAAGATTGTTTTGCCTTCTATGACCTGTGGCGACTGGTCCACCTAAAGAGGCGGCAGTCCGCAAGGAACTCCAACTCTTGGGGCGTCACGAATCACCAGGCCCAGATGTCTTACCTTCATCCCTTTTTAAAAATAGTGGTGACGTTCTGGTTAAGGAACTATCTGAATTGTTCACGAAAGTTTGGCAGTTAGAGAGCCTTTCAACATCATGAAATGAGTCAACAGTTTTCCCTATCTCTAAAAGGCATTCACGCCGTTTCTGTAACATATGCACTTTACATTCTCTGTCTCTTTACAACCTCATTGTTATTGTGAAGCGCATGTGTATTTGATGCTACCTTGTACCAATGTTTATGTGTTCAAATAAATAAAAAAAGTTTATGGAATTCTTGAACTTTACATTTGTGCAAATTTTAGTCCTTAAAATATAAGAAAAACGATGTAAAATATTGTAATCTTCAAAATACAATTATCAACCTGAACTTTGATTGTTCTATATGGTTATTGAATATACTAGACTACTAGTATATCCTAGAGAAGTGATTAATAAAATAGATTTGTGAAAAATATCACCTTATTTCTTCACGAGTAATGATTGGTTTGAAATTATTTCTAACTTTTCAGAGCTTACTGAAAGAATTTTTCAAAGCAACATGAAAAGTCGTTATTATTAATAAACCTGTTTAAATCTCTTTTACTGTCAGGTCGAATTTGTTAAATTCTTATATGAATTAATTCAATGAAATGCCAAATAAACAGCATAGTGATTACAGTTGTCACTACATCATCTAACTAAGAACAGGAATTGATCAGATGTATAGAATTATATATGAAATTATCTATTATGCAGTTAGTAGCATCAATGTTACAATGAATTAAAATTAATCTTTATCACTAGGATAAATATACCTCTGTCACATTGCACTCGGTCAATATAAACTTTTACAGTCCTCTTAAAAACAACTCATTAAATTTTACTGATGTCACAAAATCAAATGTTTTAAATAAGACCATTTTGTTGTCAACGAATTTAATTTCTAGTTTGGTTAGAATGTAACATTTAGCTTGATGTAGATAATAGTATATTTTCAATATCTTAAGTAGTATAAATTGGTACATTTATCAAATGAATCGATTTCTTTAACAATAAAAAGAACCCGAAGGTCAGTGTTCGTACCTTTCAGCAAAAAAGGGTAGAAAAATCGAGTTATCATCATCGTTTACATTGTAAATTAATCAGAATAACTTAATGAGTCTATTTTCTAACAGAATATCCACATATTGTTCAGTCTTGTAATATTCATAATGACATTATATCCAACAGTTTCTTGTCATACTCTCTGACA